ACACGTTTACGTAATTTGCAAGCTCGATACGCGCATTGTTGCACTTATTTTGTATCCAAAACATATACAAAGTGTGCCATCGAGTTTCCGGAATACATAGCCGCTTATCCGTCGTCGAGGTAAAGAGAGCGTCAAGGTGCATCCCCATCAGTATCCTCCACAGTATTGATACTTACGTTCATATACAATCTATGCATGCATGCGAATCATGTTCATGTTCAGTCACGTGCATAGCAGTCACAAAATAACAGAGCACAGAGAGATGAAGAGAAAACAAAAAAAAGAGGAAACTTTCATGGTGGCCGGGATAAACGTACGTACATTTAATATAGCTGACTGGTTATTCCAGCGTTCATGTAAATCTATTTGAATGAAATTGATGCGTACCTTGGTCAGTGTACGCGTGTGGATACTCTTCCGTTTGGTTGGTTGACTAAACAAATGAACAATATCATCTCATTTTCATTGAATATGCGAAGACCGTTTCCTATTCTCCATTGCTACCAATGCTATTGATGTGCTATTTACTACGACTGTTGTTACCTTAGTTACAAATCATCGCAGCCATAACAAATTAACACAAATATCCAACCGAAAATCATACATTTTCACTGACTGTCTATCTGTCCATTGCCAGACAATTTATGAGAATTTACCTTTTAATTGCTTACACACTCTTCGGTGTGCGTATAAGCAAAAAGAAAAAAAAAAAAATAAATAAATATATATATATATATATATATACATACTGGAGTTGATGAACTTAACGCACAGACGGTCATTGTGTGAATTTGGTTTTACATAAATCATGGCGTTACATTATAAGGAAAATCTTTTCAATTTAATTTTTATTCTCTGACTAAAGAATTTATTGAATTTAATTGAATCACTTTACAAAATCGTTCCATTACTTGCTGTTGATGGATTTTGTTAATTTTATAAATACCCATAGCCGGCGAATTCGTCTTACATATCTTACCTATCCGTAGAATCGAGATAAACATAGCGCCAAAAGTATCCTTCCTTTCCAAAGGAAGAATAAACTTTTTTTTTTAAAACGTGTTATTAAAAACTCTTGTAGAAATCATTTTGTTTGTTTTGTTTTGGGTTTGATAATTGCTCTCCACGAATTCGTTAGGAATTAACTTAGCATAACTTAAGAAAACCAAGCGACTAGTGAGTTTGGGAAGCACCAAGTCCGGGATATGTGATGATTTCCAAATAACGAAGATTCAATCATTTTTAATGGTTGATTTTCTTTTAAAAAAAGCTTAAACCAATCCCTGTCCGTCCGTCTATCCACATATATGTTATCTTAAGTTCGATATAAGAAGATTGGCATGATTTGATTCATTTCCACATGAAATTTACATATGCACACACCTCTTTAAAGTTGCTAGTCGTATGTTATCATCTATGCTACGAGCAGTGGAAGGTCAAAAGCATTGTCGAAAATAATACCTCTCTCCTTCCATATCTTTTTCAAAGTTTGCCATGGTTCCTTCTTTTCATATATTTTCTGCACCGTTCTTTTGCGATCGGCTAATAGGTAATAGTCTCGGTGGAACAAATCTAGGGAACACTATAGGTGAGGAACAATTTCCAATTTCAATGCAGGGGATTTCGTCCCGGCTCCTTCGAACCAGTAACATGTTGATATTGTTGTTCAATAGGCATCCATTTGGAGAGGGAACATCACATATCTGAATTTTTATGTATAATAATATAATAGTGTATGCGACGTCTTTTGATATCTTTTTGATGTCAGCTATGTCTTGCAACTTCACTTTTTAATTAGCGTAAATAATTTTGAAAATTTTATTAACGTTTCCACCTGTCCAGGGCGTCCGGTGAGCACCAGCAGCGTTGCGGCCCATACCACGCCCTTTGAAATCAGGAAAGTATCGAAAAACTAGAGTTTTGGATGGAGAAGAGTTACCATAACCTTCTCCAAGCTAATCCAGAGTTTCAAGTTATCTTACGCAGTTTCTTGGAAACTCAGATTTTTTACAAATAACAAAAGTATCGGCACTGAAACCGCTTTCAATTACAAAGCAATGATCAAGATATCATGACGTTTTGACAAATGATGCTTGGGAGTTGGGACTTCCGAGAAATGGTAGGAATTATTCGCGTATTTAAGTAAAGAGTCTTACTTGACTATTGTTAGTTACTCTCGACTATTAATTCTTAATGAAAGTCAAAGTTGGGACAAAATGAAATCATTCGCATCCAAATTTTATAGGAAATTTATCAGAGATAGTTTTTTTCTAGCTTTACGAAATGACCACTTCTTTCGACACTCGGTCTCGTAGAGGACGTTCCTATTCGCGGAACGCAGCGACGGTCAAAAATAAATGAGGCAAAAGAAAGGAAGAAATGGGGAAGGTAATGGCCGCAACTTAATGGGGGTGTGCCCAATCGGTAAGTATTATCCTTTCACCAACTGAGTACTCACTATAGCTACTCACTATAGCTCAAAGACGAAAGCTACCAAGAAAATTAAAGAAGTTGAAGAGAAAGGCTACCAATATAAAGAAGATCATCTCTAACTTGTTGAAACTGTACACTTTTAATATCAACTAACCATTTAACTTTTAAACTATGTTTTTGGAAATTTTATACTTAAGTTGCATTGCAAAAGTTTAGCAATACAACGAATACAATCGTCATGCAGAGTATGAAATTAGATTGTAACGAAATTACTTGACAAAATGACACACATTCTAAATTACATTACTATTGCAAATACACATTCATAATGATATCAGAACCGATCGACGCGTCATGACATACATATTTGTCAAAACACAAATCTTGGGCTTTTTTTATGATGCAATAAATTCTTTATGATATATTCGTCGTACAAAGTGTTGAAATGCTGCAAACACACTTATTGCTAAGAAACATCACTACTACTAATAGTTACATCAAAACTTTTCCCATAGAAGTCATGCATGTAAAAACATTACTGTCGGGCAACGTCGACCCTTATATATCTTATACTACTTTGCCTAGTAAATGTTTTCATTTAAAGGTGTGCTTTATCTCCTTTAGCTTACATCGGATGAGCTTGAAAACGCCACTACAAATATTACAAGGTTCTTACATCTCCCGAAACACTGTTACTCAACTATTTTGATACAGAAATAAAGCCTTACCTGGGAAGTGGTTGTAAAAATGGTAAAAAATGATTTGTCCCTGGCTCAAAACACATCACAATGACAAATTTGGTCACAATGTCTTGTAAAATCGCGACCTAAACAAGAAACAGAGAAATGCATGGCCAGATATTAGATGGGCAGCCGGACAGACGCACAGACGTTCGCTACGTGTATACAATGACTCATACTTGATAAAGGTAAAAGCATGCTGTAGCAAGCACACGTAAAAAAGCCCCCCGCTATGCTTTTCGCATTCTACTCTCCATATACTTTGATTTGATACCCATATCGCTGGTATTATTAAGAAAAAATTAATCGTGATGTCTACAATATTTTATTTAAAATTAACCCATTTTCAGGCAAATAACATATCTTCATTTGCGGAGTGTACAAAATACTTTTAAGCATTCTGTCTTGTTTACCTCGTAAAGTAAATGTGGACAATTTCAGCCTTATACTTTCCGAGCAACGAGCAAAAACCCAACTGTGCGCTTCTCTTCTGACCGATTTCACCCATTTTCAATATCAACTAGCGTGCAGAAGCTATCATTTCTAACAAATTTGAAGCCGACATCTTTATTTTTGCGACGAGACACACAGACACTTAGATGGTCAGACTTTCATGCTGATCTACTTTATAGAGTCTCTGAAGCTTCCTTTTGGGTGCTACATACATGGACATGTTATGGAAAAAAACAAACTGAGGATGCCCTCATCTTACAGCGGTGGGTATAAAGAAAAAAAAAATTTCTTTGAAATCTACCGCATTTGTAGAGCAAAGCTAGAATTAAAGGTCAAACAATTACTTACGGCAAGACAACACTTACATGACTAAGAAGTAACCATAATTCAATAGAAAGTTTAAGAGTTCCATTAACGTATCTTTTGTTTTGCGATTGACCCCATAAAGAGAATAAAATTTTATTATTTTTGCACCAGAATTACCTCTAATTGCAAGCTTTTGAAATTTCGGCACGGCGTTCAGGGGGTCCTTCCCATATTTTTTAAAGCGGCTTAAGCAAAACTTAACACTTCTTTAATCTAACTCTATTTGACGGGTACAACGCGGCACAAAGTCCAATAAGACGTTTTGGAAATATTTTCCATTTTATCATAGAAGTTAGATCTTCGTGCACAGCAAACAAGGTAAGAGGTCTCCCAAGTCCAACGAGACGAAGGTATTCAATTTTTAAAACGCCTGCTTAGCTGTGTGGTGCTTTTCAATATAATAACAAGACTATGCAAGAATGAAATAGTTTTGCAAATCAGATGCCCTCATTGTTAGTCTCCTGCTTGATTTTGAATTTTATGCTTATAAGTAGGTGTACTGCTGAGTCAAGCGCTTAAAAAAGTATAAAAAAAAAGACAAAACTGTTGAGTCATACCTAGTAGAATAAATCAATCATGGTTTCGTCGTCAACAATTTCAATTGACATGAAACGGTCCCTTAAGGGTTAACACGAAAAGAAATTATTAATAACAAAAAATGATTAAAATAACTTCTATGTATTTCACCAGAGAATGCTGTTTTGAAGATGCTTCAAAAAAATCCGGGGAACGGGATGAAAATGTTAATTTTTAATTCAATAACCCGTTTTGACAGTTTAAAATTTTGATATGTGTGGGCACGTTTCTCTTTGCAAGCTAGATCTGTTTAGGGCCAGATAGGAAGCGAGAATATATCTACTGTATAAACGGAAAATTACCAGCTACGCTACACACAACACGGCAAGACGAAGTAAATGAAATAAAGCAAATAGTCTCCGTGGCGATTGAATATGAAAAACAAAAATAAAAATTTATTTTGTTTCATTACATGACAGTTTCATCCAACAACTTTTACGTAAACTCAATAGAACTTTTATACAAACTCTCCTAGGCTTTTTGAAAATCCATTTTATCAGTAATACTGGCGATAAGTTCCACCGAAAGTAGCGAATAGAAATAATTATTTAACTTTGCTCTTTGTCGCAAAATGATTCTATAAGTATGTGCGTATCTTAAGCAAAAGCAACTCTATATTGCATATTTGTCAAGCTGTTGATCAATTTCATTGCGGCAATATACTGTGGGTCGTTATTTTCTTCCCATGGCACAGTAATCCAAACTTCATCAAATCCAATATTTTGAAAGCATTTCTTCAATTTGAAAGCTATAACACATTTGTTCGTACCGGTTACCTTGTAACATGGCGGCAGTATTTCATCTAGAAGCACGTGATTGGCAATGTATCCAACATTTTTTTTTAAAATATCAATCTGCAAGACACCATTCCTTAAAATACCAGTTCTATCATATAAACAGGCAAGAAAACATTTCGCTTCGTAACTGGAATCATCTAAATCACCAACTCTAAGCCGATCCAAATCAAATGGATTAATCCGTCGTTCTCTCTTGCAATGCTTAAAATCCGCCATAAATTCCTTGTATCGGTTATCGCTGAACAGTGCAGGAGCGGCTATGGATAGCAAAATTAGTGTTACCCGCAACATTACTTTTCTTCTCACACGTATATCAAAAGTAATTTTTGATTTCATTTATCCAGCGGTCTATATATGCAAGGCATTTCTGTGAAATTATAATTTTTACGGTTAATTGCACTAATTTGATATGGTTGGCCTTTTAATTTTATTGTTTAAAGTAAAACTCTGCAACAAGATATATAATAAAATCGTGTTAAGTAGTTAGCTAACTTCTGCAGGATGTGAAATAAAGTTCATTTCGGTTAATTAAAATAGTTGGAGGTGGGTCGACATCAAATTGGTTTCCTTAACTAACGGCTTTCTCGATAGGTGGCGGCAATAATGGTCTGGGGTCATTTTATAATCACCGATCTCGAGTAAACTTGATAACGCTTAGTGAAAAAGTACAGCTTACTGTCGATTGAAATATTTTGCTGTAAAATTGCTGTCAGGTAACATATTCGACTTACGATCGAGTTGATCCGACTTGGGCAGTTATAAATGGGCTGCTGACTTGAAGAAGTGCAGTCTAGATTCGATTAGGTTTAATTGTATGAAAAACTGAATCGACCATTACAAAATATATTTACATTCTACGCTGAAGAAGTAACTCTCTTCCTTCTTCTAATATCAGGCAATTAATTGCAGCTAATTTGATGATAAATTTATATTAGAGCGCCATGTCCTAATAATATTCCTGCAGAAAGCATAAAATGTTGTGTTAATGACCAAAGAAATAATGTAAATAGTTAAGTTTCGTATACCAACCAACGTGAGCTTGCCAGGTTTTTAATAGAATAAATGCCTTTTCTTCTACAAGGGCACCCCATCTTCGTTAGATTGTTTCGTTGACCATGGTTGTATTTAGAAACAGATACTTTTGAGAGTTAATTTTTTAGTACTTAGAAACGCGTTTCTCATTTGCGAGTAAACCTGATTAAGCCAACTTTATAACTTCCGTTTTCTGTCTTCTTCTTTATTTGCCAACGCCACGTAATAGAGTCTCATCAAGTTTTAGTGACATCTTCCATTTTTAACGCCTCTAAAATGTTTTTTATGGAACAATCCAAGCTTCCGAAGCTATTGAATATTATCCAAATTTCACTACTAAAATTTATTATAAGCGCCACTGACTACTATCTTCTATTGGCCTAAAAAATGTAACGTAGAAGAACAACACTCAAATCGACGCATTCCGTTGAAAACTTTTTCGGATAAGTGATGAATGTAATCGGTGGTAGCAGTGTTGATTACGATGTTAATTATCCGACTTCGAATTGTTCACGGAAATTGGTAATTTGTACGACCGTATTGTTGGGACAAACCGTGGTCATCTATAGTCTAACCGACATTTCACAACAAACCAAATAATTCAAATAAAGGGAAAACCAACAATCTTTGGTGTCCCTTCTGCTAAATTCCTTGCATCGCATGTTACGAATGCCACCGAAGACTTTTTCATTTAAATCGTCTCGCGTTATCCAAAAAGTCACCATTTTTTCTTTGAAGTCTGTAGCATCTTAACTGACATGTCAAATATATTCCCTACCAATATTTTCCCGTGTTAACGAGTTACAGTTGTTTACTTTCGTCGAATATTATGCAACTACGCTTTCCATTTGTGTTTAACTTTCCTGTCGATTGAAATCAACATCTGATGAAACGTTTTTTCCACAACATAGCGTTATATGAGAGGTAAACACGTAGCTGTATTAAATTTCACCAAAATATCTCAAAACCTGCGACTTGCACGTTGAGCCCAAGAAAATAAGACGAACGGACGGACGGACGGATCGAGAAGCACAATTATTTTGCGCACTTGGCCTTATTGTAGCATAGTATACACTTGTACCACGAGTGATGTAGGGTAAGCAATTAATAAGTGTAATGAAAAACGCTTTCCCAGATCCGGTTGCAAATTCTTTTCAAATCTAAACCTTTTTTGAAAAGATTTCACTCCGCTTCTAATACTTGCTAGCGCTGTTTGAAAACTTACTTCAGCAAATTACTTCTACGTCGATTTTGTGTTTGTTCTGCTTTTCTGTAACTCCTATTAAATTTATTTACAATTAATAAGCACCCAATAAAGCATTAAGAAGGCATAAAGAGTTGAAAAGGTGGGAGATAATTACCCAGCCCTACCTATCCAACCTAAAATGATAACAATTCTTTTATTTATATTTTTCTCCGTAGTACGTTGTTGCTCTTTTTTTTCGCCTTTTGTTTTTTTTTGCGTCTTTTTAAAGAATATTCTGTAATATACAAGGCTTTTTGTACTATGGTACGGTGTCAGTATAAGTAAAGCAATTAACCTTATAAATCTACTTCATGGATCGGTTTTGCAGTTTTCAACCTCTTCTACCGCTTGCATTAGCTTACTCCCAAACAGATAACTACGAATTCAACTATAGAGCTTCAATGGCTTGTAAGCGTCTATGCACGCGTGTATGTGTATGACTTTTGAATTGCTGTTTTGTCGTTTTTTTTTTTTTTTTTTTTTTTTTTTTTTTGCTTTAAGCTTTGAGAACTTCAGTGTATGTATGAGGATTTATGCAAGCAATTGTTACAAAAATTTATAGCTCACGCGTTGGTTAAACGTCATTTATTACCAATCACACTTGAATTTATGGCAATTGCTTGACAGTAAATTATTCTATTCAGAAGAATGAAAAACTTAAAAAAAAATATTTTTTTCCTCATTTTTTGTTTGCTTTTTTAAGGTCGCTTATAAAAAAGTTCAATTAGATTTTTAAGAATAAAACATAACATTATTCTCTTTATTTTATCTTCTTTTAAAAAATTACATAATAGATAAATTCAAGTTTTGCTAGCTAGATTCTCTCATATATGTAAGCGAATTAAAAAAAAAAAAACCCAATCCCCTGACTCCTTTAGTCAATGGAAGCGTTTATTTATCTTTGAAAACTGTACTCTTCGGAAAAAAGACATTTTTTTTTTTTTTTTTTTTGCAGATAAGTCCATATGTCGCATGAATTCATAAACATAGTTATACACGACACGAGTGTACCCAAAATTCCTTTATTTGGTTCGGTAATTAAGAATATGTAACTGTCTGCTTGCGATTTATTAGTTTGAAACGCATGAATATGCATTTATTTGTATCGATTCTGCCGCTATACCTACAGCGCGTATCATCAAACAAGTTTTCATTGATTTTTATCGCTAAAATACATCGTGTATGTGTATAAGAATAAAGGAACATGAGTGTGTAACAATCAAAAGAAAATGGTCTTTAGGAAGCGATAAACGTAGCTTAAGTTTTTGAGTACAAGGGTAAAAACTACCAGCAAGAGACCTGATAATATAATATAAAGTTAGTGACGCTTACGAAAATTCATGCCATAGCCGTCTGCTGAATTGTCCGCCTTGCCGCCGTTTCTTCCCTCGGCAATTCAGCGTAAATTCCATAGCAACTTGAAGTTGGCAATAAGTTGAAAAAGAGAAGCTCCGAGTTAGTCACGTGTGAAAAATTTTACCTTCGCTCACTTTGAACTACATTATTAGTCCTCCGGTTTTCATTCTCAAAGGTTGAATCCCTCCACCTCGCTTTTCTTTTTGTTTTTTCTTTGGATCGAAATTGCTAGAAGACCATAAACACCTGACGAAAACAACACAAAGAGGCTTGACACTTTACACGACACAAGAAACTTTCTTTGATCTTGCGGAAAACAATGAGAAGCTCGTTAAGTTACTAATATACACTGTGGAGTCTCAAGAAATCTTAGATTAAAAATGGCCGCCAAAAAATTTCGTAATGAATCATAAGAAATCTTTAGGCAATTTCCATCGATTCTTTGATCTATGATAGTTCGCCAGATTGTTTTGCGTTATTCCTCACACCAAGCACTTCTGCAGCCTGGGAACTAAAATTAGCAGGAAAACCTTTCGTAGTAAGTATTTCAAGATGTCCGGACAGTTTCGATTTGTTCGATAGTGTGCTCCCTTTTGGCGTTTGCTTGACGTCTCTGAAGCACTTACAATTGTTTTTATTCAAGTAAAACAAAGTTTTACCTTTGAATTATGGCTTAAGATGAGCTAATCAACGCTGTTCGACGCTGTACATGTATGCAAATCAATTGTTAAGAATACATACACGACGAAACAATTGATGTTGTATTTATCCCAAGTAGAGGGTAACGAGGTCGTTTTGTTAGTGAAATTATTTACTGAAAAGACACGCGTTGAACTTTGCTCTTAAGGTTAGAATTGTCGACTAAATTCAAGAAAAGTGTTTTCAGCTAGAACAAGTTTTTCATTTATTTTATATATCGACATGTGCGTACGTAGCAAAGTTATTGACTTGCATAAGTTTTCATAGTACAACGTTTTCGGTTGTGATTACCATTCTCATAGATCCGCCATTAAGTTTAGTCTGACTGCCTTCTAATGGAATTTTGCGAGCTCTATACGGACAAAAAGATTCGCCAATTTGGAGAAGTAAAACTGAAATGCTTAAAAATCATAGGATTTGGGAATCGAAGGAGCAAATCTTCATTCCGTTACTGTGTCTCATACTTATCAAGTTTGCGACATTACACTGGATAAAAGCTTGAGCCCGACTAATGAGTTGCTTGCCAACTTTAAACAATTGTATATAACGTTAATGTTTCCGTTAACACTTTAGCGGCCGTTGACATGAATAAATGAATAAATAAATTCACGTTCTCCAATGCCTATTTCTGAGTGCGGCCACATTAGGCGCTTTCTATAGCCATTATTGTGGGACGCATTAACGTAGTCAAAGTGATGTGCCCCGATACAACGGTATTTGCTTTTTACACAAAAGTACATCAGTTGTTGTTCCCAAGCGATGCGCGATTTATTAGAGCATCCATCACGATTATAAGTAATAGGTGCATAAATAAATTGCTTCCGGTTTGTTGATAGAATGTAATCTTCTTTAAATAATAATTTCCCCAATGCTTAATAATAGAAATATGCTCGATCGTTACCCGATCGTAGTCTTTTGATGTATTTATTGGATAGGAGGGCGAAATAGCCATCGACCCATTTTCGCGCAAAATTCAACTACTATGGCCGATTGATCTGCTGAA